CCCTGTCTCGAAAAAACAAAAAACAAAACAAACAAAAAAAAAACAACTGTAAACATGGGAGAGAGAAAAAGAGATTAATGCTGTTTGATTATCACACCTCAGACTGAAAGAGTTATGGACACAGTAGATGGTGAGGGCTTAATTAAGAGGAGAAGTTATTGATCATATAGGGTTTGTTCATCTACAATTTGACATCAGCTGGGGTCTTGAGACTGTATTTATTCACTAAGAAGATATCTGAATGTCTACAATGTAGCAGGCCTTGATTCTAGACAATGTACATCAGCTTTGAAAAAAATTAAAAATCTTGTCCTGTAAAATTTGGATTCTAGTGTACAAAGGAATTACAGAATTCATTTCTAACTGCATTGAAGGGGTAAAAATGTGTTTTCCTACTTGGTTGTTATAGCATGTACCAATTTCAAATAGTTTAATCATTCATCACAAATAGAACTTAAGACCCATTTTCAGAAATACTCATCTAGCTAAGTTTACATTCAAATTCCTTTATATATTATAAATCCACAGGAGTTGATGACGGGATTTTATTGGCTAAAAAAATAGTAAAAAATAATGTTTTAACAATGAAATTAAAATGTTGCCATTGCAGATCTGCCTTTTATACTACGGCACAGCTCATATTCATGTATATTTATAAAAGGCACCATATGTTAATATGATAAAGCAAGAAGCCAAACCTGAGCCATTTTTCCCAATTACCTTTTTGTACAACTATTATTTTAAGGCAGATGTTTCTCTGTGCAGAAATAGACAGTGAAAAAAATTACATAGGTTTTTTTCAATACCATGTTTCACTATATTTATTTATAATCAAGCATATTAAAACAGGGTTTTTTTCTAATAAAATGTAAGTTGATGAACAAGTTTTAAGAGGTTTTCAAGATTCCATTATAGACTCCTCATCGGAGATAAAGTCATTCTCTTCTTGTCTCTTCTCTTAGGAATGCCCATATCAGCCTGTTCACTATGTCAGGTTGGTCCTGCTGAAGCCAGTGGCTACCTTCTGATAAAACGGTGAGTCTGAAATAGTTTTTAACATAAACCTTTGTGACTTCGGCCATCTCAGCCTCCATAAACGCATCTTCCTCTCCCCACAGGAGTAGCGTGGGCGTCGTCACCATGTGATGTTTGAGAGGCAGGCAGCTGTGAAATCAAAACGCCTTGGCTTGAGAATCATCGGGAAAGTTTGAGTAACATTCTTCCATAACATTCATGGAGATTGTGCATTCCTCAAATACCTCTTGCTAAAGGGGTGAAAATTGGTTCTTGGGAGGGTAGAAGAGCCTCACATTTTATTCATAAAACATAGATATGCAGAGATTACAAACATATTAAATTTTCATGGGGCAGGGTGATTTGAAGGGGAAATGTCCTTAAAAGCCCCCGTGGGAAATGATAATGAGGAATGGATGTAAAGCACCACATTCGAGTGTTATGCTAATTATGCTGAGTGTGTGGGTGAATGTTATCTCAGTACTCAAGAGGCAGAGGCAGGACATCCATCACTTCAAGTTCAAGGCTAACCTGGGCTACATAGTGAATTCCAGGACAACATTGGCCAAAGTTGAGACTCTATCTCAAAACAAATTAAACATAAACAAGGAAAGCAAAAAAGGAGATCTAATAAAAGCTTGTCAGTAAAGTGAGGGGGCAGCCAGCCTGCACTTACCTCTGTAGAGGGGACAGCCTGCACTTACCATCTGCAGAGGGGGCAGCCTGCACTTACCTCTGTAGAGGGGACAGCCTGCTCTTACCATCTGCAGAGGGAGCAGCCTGCACTTATCATCTGCAGAGGCCAAGGCAGGAAGTGCTCTGGGGTCTGCTGACCGGCCAGCCTAGTCTCATCCTCAATCCCCAGCTACCCAGTAAGAACCAGCTCAAAACACTAGGTGTGTGGCTCTGAGCGGGGACACCCAGGCTGTCAATACCAAAGGACACACACACCTACACATACACTTACACACAGAACCAATTGTCTTAGCTTTTATAAAGCGGAATTTTGTGCGAGGCCAACCAGGCCTACACAGTGAGACTCTGTCTAGAGAAGAAAACAAATGGACAAAGAGACAACATAACCCAAACAAACAAAACCATGACTTCTGCCTTCCACAGGCTTCCTGTCTCCTGGAGATAACGGTACTTCCTCCTGCCATGCAGGTCTTCCCGGTGGGCAGTTATAGTAAAAACAAAGAAAGAACTTAAGAAAGGGCAGGAAGATAAGAATGCTTTTCCTCTTATGGGGAGTTCTTGATCCTTTGTCTTTTGGTCGTGATGGATTATAACCTATATAACTGAAACAAATCCTTTCCCCCTTGATGGCTTTTGTCAGAGTATTCTGTCACAAAGCAGAAAAGAAACCAAGACACTGACATACTGATTGTTTGTTTGTTTAAACATGATTTTACTGTGTAGCTCAGGCTGGCCTTGAATTTGTGATCCTCCTGCCTCAGCCTTTCCAGTGCTGGGGTCACACACCATACATCACCATGCCCGTTTGCTGCCATTGTTTTGGTTATTTGATTTTATTGCTCTCTCTCTTCTTTTTCCTCTTTCCCTGACTTTTCTGAACTGGGAGTCCACCCCTACGGATACTGGGTTAAAGATAGTCGGCTGCTATCGCCCTCCCTCCTCCCACGCTCCTCTGCCTCCTCCCACGCTCCTCTCCCTCCTCCCACGCTCTCTGCCCTCCAGCCCTGTACCCC